AGGTTTGTACCCAAGGGTAACAGGAATAACGAAAAGGCCAGGATGAGCCCATGGTTCATCCAAAGGTGCAGGGAGGCAAAAACCAAGTGTGCTAGGGAATGGAAGAAATATAGAAGGCAAAGGACCCAGGAGAATAAGGAGAGCAGTCGTACAGCCAGAAATGAATATGCACACATAAGAAGGGAGGCCAAACGACAATATGAAAACGACATAGCAGCGAAAGCCAAATCCGACCCGAAGCTGTTATACAACCACATCAGGAGGAAAACAACAGTCAATGACCAGGTAATCAGGCTAAAGAAGGAAGGAGGAGAGACAACAAGAAATGACCGTGAAGTATGTGAGGAACTCAACAAGAGATTCAAAGAAATGTTCAGAGGAGAGAGAAGGGGCTCCAGTAAGACGGAGAAGTGGGGCACACCTCCAAGTGCTGGACACAGCACACACAACCGAGGAAGAAGTCAAGAGACTTCTGAGTGAGCTAGATACCTCAAAGGCAATGGGGCCGGATAACATCTCTCCATGGGTCCTGAGAGAGGGAGCAGAGGCTCTATGTGTACATCCAACAACAATATTCAATACATCTATCGAAACAGGGAGATTACCTGAGGCATGGAAGACAGCAAATGTAGTCCCAATCTTTAAAAAAGGAGACAGACATGAAGCACTAAACTACAGACCAGTGTCACTAACATGTATAGTATGCAAAGTCACAGAGAAGATTATCAGGGGAAGAGTGGTGGAACACCTAGAAAGGAATGATCTCATCAACAGCAGCCAACATGGTATCAGGAATGGGAAATCCTGTGTCACAAACCTACTGGAGTTCTATGACACGGTGACAGCAGTAAGACAAGAGAGAGAGGGGTGGGTGGATTGCATTTTCTTGGACTGCAAGAAGGCGTTTGACACAGTTCCACACAAGAGATTAGTGCAAAAACTATAGGACCAAGCAGGGATAACAGGGAAGGCACTACAATGGATCAGGGAATACTTGTCAGGAAGACAGCGAGTCATGGTACGTGGCGAGGTGTCATAGTGGGCACCTGTGACCAGCGGGGTCCCACAGGGGTCAGTCCTAGGACCAGTGCTATTTCTGGTATTTGTGAACGACATGACTGAAGGAATAGACACCGAAGTGTCCCTGTTTGCAGATGACGTGAAGTTGATGAGAAGAATTCATTCGATCGAAGAGCAGGCAGAACTACAAAGGGATCTGGACAGGCTGCAGACCTGGTCCAGCAATTGGCACCTGGAGTTCAACCCCACCAAGTGCAGAGTCATGAAGATTGGGGAAGGGCAAAGAAGACCGCAGACGAAGTACAGTCTAGGGGGCCAGAGACTACAAACCTCTCTCAAGGAAATAGATCTTGGGGTGAGTATAACACCAGGCACATCTCCTGAAGCGCGCATCAACCAAATAACTGCTGCAGCATATGGGCGCCTAGCAAACCTCAGAACAGCATTCCGACATCTTAATAAGGGATCGTTCAGGACCCTGTACACCGTGTACGTTAGGCCCATATTGGAGTATGCGGCACCAGTTTGAAACCCACACCTAACCAAGCACGTAAAGAAACTAGAGAAAGTGCAAAGGTTTGTAACAAGACTAGTCCCAGAGCTGAGAGGTATGTTCTACGAGGAGAGGTTAAGGGAAATCAACCTGATGACACTGGAGGCGAGGAGAGATAGCGGGGACATGATAACGACATACAAAATACTGAGAGGAATTGACAAGGTGAACAAAGACAGGATGTTCCAGAGATTGGACACAGTAACAAGGGGACACAGTTGGAAGTTGAAGATGTCAGGAAGTATTTCTTTAGCCACAGAGCAGTCAGGAAGTGGAATAGTTTGGGAAGCGATGTAGTGGAGGCAGGATCCATACATAGCTTTAAGTAGAGGTATGATAAAGCTCACGGTTCAGGGAGAGTGACCTAGTAGCAACCAGTGAAGAGGCGGGGCCAGTAGCTCGGACTCGACCCCTGCAACCTCAACTAGGTGAGTACAACTAGGTGAGTACACACAAAGTCTCTCTCCCTCGGGCGAATATATGTATAATTTGTACACCAAGAGGTGTGTATCTCTCAGTGTACACAACCCTAGAAAGTTTAATGAGAGTATACGATAGTTCCTTTATTTTAGGACTAAAATATTTTTGTCTGATAACTTTTAGGTAAACCACAATATGGGGGCATCCTGTGGTTTACCGGAGCCAGGTTTTACGCTCCATTTAAAAAACAAAACATATAGCTTGGACGACACCTAGTGTCGTCTTAGCTAAATAAAGTCACTATGTAGTACTATCTCTAGGATTACTACCAATGGGATTTTCAGACCAGAAGATCACTGGCTGCCTTCAAGTGGGTGCCGGACAGATACCTAAAGTCAGCACTTAATCAGCCGGGTGTGCTTTGTACGTTGGACTACGTGTGGCCAATAGTAACAGCCCAGTTAACCAGGCCCTGATCCATCAGGAAGCCTGGTCAAAGACTGGGCCGCGGGGGCGTTGACCCCCCTAGAACACCTTCCAGGTGCCATCAGTCTGACGAATCCTTGACAGGATACACTCGTCCTTATCTCCTGAGTAATACAACTACCACTACTACTACCACCACTACCACTGTCAGTACCAACACTGACAGGTGACCAGTGCTGTCATCTATGCCTTTCCCGGTTAATTAGCCAGGAGATGTGACCCCGTCACTGGCAGAATGACCTTATAAAGGAAGCCTTCATCTCAGTTACTCAGCCCTGACTGTCTCATTTTTTGTGTATCATGTTAGGAGGCGTGGGTGTATGTTGGGGTGTGCGAGTGAATATTTTGTATGTTGGGGTGTGTGAGTGAATATTTTGTATGTTGGGGTGTGTGAGTGAATATTTTGTATGTTGGGGTGTGTGAGTGAATATTTTCATGTGTTAGCAGGTGACTGTGTGTACATTTTGTGTTGGTAGTGTGTGGGTGAACATTTTGTGTTGAGAGTATACGTTGTGGTGTGGTGATTATTGGGGTTGAGGTGTATTTTTTGTGGCGTGTGTGTACTCACCTAATTGTGGTTGCAGGGTCGAGTCATAGTGTGTGTGTGTGTGTGTGTGTGTGGTTAGTTACCATTTTGTCCTAGGCACATGTCGATTAGACACTAGGCCTGTAGTATATATACACACACACACACACATATATATATATATATATATATAATATATATGTGTGTTTGTGTGTGTGTGTGTTGTGTTTGTGTGTGTGTGTGTGTGTGTGTGTGTGTGTGTGGTGTGTGTGTGTGTGTGTGTGTGTGTGTGTGTGTGTGTGTGTGTGTTGTGTGTGGTGTGTGTGTGTGTGTGTGGTTGTTGTGTGTGGTGTGTGTGTGTGTGTGTGTGTGCGTGTGTGTGTGTTTTGTGTACTGGTATTGCGTGGGGTGTATATTTTCACGCGTTGTGAGTGTATCAAAGTATATTTTGTACATTAGGTAGAGGGAGGTGTTACTCATATATATATATATATATATATTTAAAGATGAGATCCCAACTACATTCAATATTCCTGTCAACTTGGTTTTCTGAACGATATTGGCAAACATCTCAAGACATGATTTTGAAAAATCCTTTGAAGTGAAGGAAATCGTCAGATCTAAAAAGGATTTTATGGATTATTATTCATATCAAATGGATTTTAAAGATATTATTATTATTACTTTTATTATTATTATTATTATTATTATTATTATTATTATTATTTTATATTAATTATTATTATTATTATTATTATTATTTTATTTATTATTATATGTATTAGATAAACTATTTTTATTATCATTTAAAATGAGTATTTTTTATATAGACAGAAAATATGAATCTGTCTATTAAGAAAGTTAGTGAATTTCTAATAATGTGTATAAAATGTGTATAAATAAATCGGTGTATAAATATCTATTAAATGCAAATTTCTATGTAAACGCGTGAAAATATAAATTGAAAGTATATTATTTTTTATTTATTCATAGATAATATACATCCATACGAAATTAGTAAGTGTTAAAAAAATAATAATATTTGCTACACAATAATAATAATAATAATAATAATAATAATAATAATTATTATTAATTATTATTATTATTATTATTATTTATTATTATAGTTATATAATAATAGTAATAGTAGTAGTAATAATTGTAGTAATAAAAATAATATAATAATCATAGTAATATTAATAATAAAATAATAATAAATAATAATAATAATAATAATAATAATAACTGCAGACTACGTATAATAAAACACTTCACACAAAAAAAAACCCACAACTATGTTTAGAAAGTGACCAGAAAAAGGGATAGAAAAAAAAATTGGTGAAAAGAATTTGAGGCACAGTTTTGATGGAAAAAAAAGGGCCCGGGGTCGAAACCAAGTTTTTAAATTGAGAAAAACTTTTGTCCTCAATTTAAATGTGAAGAGTGTGTTTTCGTTAGTTGTTGTTAACAGTTGTTTGTACGGTGTGTGCTGTATAAAAAAGGGTGTTTTTGTGTGGGGGTGTAATGCATTGTGAGTATTTTTGTATGAATTTTGTTTGTTTTGTTGTCTGTAATAGTGTTTTTGTTCATATTCACTGTGAAAATGTGTGTGTGTATGTGTGTGTGTGTGTGTGTGTGTGTGTGTGTATGTGTGTGTATATTGTGTGTGTTAGTGTGTGTGACTCCCTCTGACGTATTCACAGGAAGCAACGTAAATAGGTCTTGATACTGGATGTTGTTCTTGATCCGAGGAACTGGAGTCATCCTCCCCTTCCTCGGATCAAGCTTCACTACTACTCATTCCTCACTGTATGATCCCTCATGTTGAGTTCCCTAAGTATCCTGTATATCGTAGCCATGTCTCCTCCCTGGTCTTCGTGTCCTCTAAGGTGATCTTAATTCCAAGTTCTGACTTACATTCGTAATTCTGACCTTAATTGCTAATTCTGCGTTCACCCAGAGTGACCCTGAGATGACCTGTGTTTCTTACAGATGAGTGGAGAAGGCAGCACGGTCGAAGGCTTCTATATACGCCTACATCACGTCTCTCGAGAGCACCATCCATCCACCGCCCAGGTCACGGCAGCCGGGGCCAAACCACGACCCAAAGGTCAGTCAGGTCATGGTAATACTTCTCCCAGGTTAAGTCTCAGTAATACTTCTCCCAGGTTGTCCTACAACAAAAATCATCAGTGTTAAAGGTTAGGAAACTATGATAATAATCAAAATAATAATTACAATACAAATACTAGCAGTAGTAATCATCAGATGGTTAATTGGGTTTTAAAATCCATCGACTACACGAGGATCATTACGGCTTCATGTCACACGTTCACCACCGGTCAAGAATACTTTAATAAAACCTGTTGTAGACATTAATTAAAGTATCAGCGTATGTAAACAACAAAAAAGTCACAATACTGTGACTGGAACGATACGCAAATAACCCGCACATAGAAGTGAAGAGCTTACGACGACGTTTCGGTCCAGCTTGGACCATTTACAAAGTCACACCGTGACTTTGTAAATGATCCAAGTCGGACCGAAACGTCGTCGTAAGCTCCTCTCTTCTATGTGCGGGTTATTTGTGTATCAGCGTATGTACACTGAGAAATATGTACCTCTCGGTGTATATACACTGAGGAATATGTACCTCGTGGTGTATATACACTGAGAAATGTGTACCTCTCGGTGTATATACACTGAGAGATATGTACCTTGATGTGCATATACACTGAGAAATATGTATCTCTCGGTGTATATACACTGAGAGATATGTACCTCGAGGCGCATATACACTAAAAGTAATAACACTTGACAGTGTATATACATTGAGAGACATGCCCCTCTTGGTATATATATATACCAAGATACATACACATCTTGGTGTATATACAGAGAGACATACACTTCGCGGTGTGTATAACCATATGTTTTATTGGTAAGAATACTTGTTGACACTGGTGTCGTACACTAGCCTGGGTGATGCCACGGACCGCGGGAGAGACAGGGAATTCTACGGTAGTGACGGTGTTGAACGCTGGTCCTGGTGCTTCCTCGTACGTGCTGCACGGCCTCTTCCACTACCGTGCCTACACCGTATTTCTCGTGCCCTTCTTCAAGACTTTCGAAGGTCACCCGTCCAACAGCCGGACCTTCGAGACTCCGGAAGCAGGTGAAGACCAGGTGTTTGCGCGCGTGTGTGTATGTGTGTGTGTGTGTGTGTGTGTGTGTGTGTGTGTGTGTGTGTGTGTGTGTGTGTGTGTGTGTGTGTGTGTGTGTGTATTTACATACCTTTAAAACGAAGATTTTGCATGAAATGTTCCATATTCCATCCAATCCTTTACCTCCAAAAGACTCTTTATTCTCACTCAGTTTTAAGTAACGCCAAATGAAAAAAACGAGTTTATACTTGTATTTCGTTGAAACTAAAACATTTTGCTGTACGTGACACCACGAGAATAATAATAATAAAGAAGAAGAATACTTTTATGCTCTATTTAATCCACTCTTGCGGCCACTTTGCTTCTCTCTACGTAAATATGGTGTGTGTGTGTGGGACAAAGGGTTCACTTGAGCCTGCACGAGTGTGCAAGGTGACTCTCAGATTGGCTTCGTTCTGGAGGAAGAAGGTTCAGGGCTGCCGAGGATGCTTTTTACACAGTCTGAAACTGAACACTGGTGAGGCGTGATTTCCTGGTTGCACATCCTCTCTTCCTCTCCGTCCTCTCTCTCTCTCTCTCTCTCTCTCTCTCTCTCTCTCTCTTCTCTCTCTCTCTCTCTCTCTCTCTCTCTCCTCTCTCTCTCTCTCTCTCTCCTCTCTCTCTCTCTCTCTCTCTCTCTCTCTCTCTCTCTCTCTCTCTCTCTCTCTCTCTCTCTCTCTCTCTCTCTCTCTCTCTCTCTCTCTCTCTCTCTCTCTCTCCTCCTCTCCTCTCTCTCTCTCTCTCTCTCTCTCTCCTCTCTCTTTTCTCTCTCTCTCTATCTATTTATCTATCACTCTTTTTCTGATGCTCTTATGTGTATCGTAAGTTGCTTGGAATGGTACACATGTGTCTCAGTTATAAGGTACATAGCTATACATACCTGTCTCGGTAAGATACATTGATACACACATGTGTCTTAGTAACGTACATAGCTGCGCACACGTGCCTCAGTAATGTAGGTAGCACAGGCACCTCGATACAGACATATTGTTTATAATATGCAAGTGTACGTATGTATACTGTAGTTACCTCGTTGTAAGATGGCAGTTTATTCTGTAGTGACTGTACTAACTGTACTGACTGTACTGACTGTACTGACTGTACTGACTGTACTGACTGTACTGACAGTACTGGCTGTACTGGCTGTACTGACTGTACTGACTGTACTGACTGTACTGACTGTACTGGCTGTACTGGCTGTACTGACTGTACTGACTGTGCTGACTGTACTGACTGTACTGACTGTACTGACTTTACTGACTTCTCTGATTGTACTGATTGTACTGACT